GCTTATATTTTGATTGGGTTTTTTTATTTTGGGAGGGTCTAATTTTTTTGAGTTCTGTATATATTCTAGATAATAGTTCTCTGTCCGAGTGTAGCTGGCAAAAGTTTTTTCTCATTTTGTAGGTTGTCTCTTTACTCTGTTGGTTGTTTTCTTTGCTGTGCAGAAGCTTTTCAATTTGATATAATTCTATTCGCTGACTCTTAACATTTTTTATTCAATTGCTATTCTGTTCAGAATGTCCTTACCTATGCCTGTGACTTCAAGTGTTTTACCTACTGTATCTCCAAGCAGGTTAAGCATTTCTGTTTTAATATTTAGATATTTGATTCATTTTTATTTTAGTTTAAAACATGATGAGCAATACAGGTCTGGCTTTAATCTTCTGCATGTGGACAGCCAGTTTTCCTAGCACCATTTGCTAAAGAGGCTATCTTTCCCCCAACATGTTTTTGGTCCCTTTGTCCAAGATCAGATGAGTGACTGTGCCTGGAGCTGTTTCCGCATCCTCTATTCTATTTCATCAATCCACATGTCTGTTTTTGTAATAGTACCATTCTATTTTTATCACTGTAGCTTTGTGATATAACTTCAAATCTGTGGTTGAGATGCCTCTTGCTCTGCTCTTGTTACCCAGGATTGGTCTTGCTATTCTGGGTATCTTCTGGTCTCATATGAATTTTAGGATTTTTTTTTTTTTGGTACCAGAGATCGAACTCAGGACCTTATGCTTGCAAGGCAGGCACGGTCGGTGCCACTGAGCTAAATCCCTGGCCCTAAGATTGTTTTTTTCTAGTTCTTTGAGGAATGCCATTGGTATTTTGATCGGGATTGCATTAAATCTGTATATCAGTTTTGGAAATATGGCCATTTTGACAATATTGGTTCTGCCTATCCAAGAACAGGGAAAACTTTCCATTTTCTGATGCCCTCTTCACTGTGCTTTTTCTGAGTTCTATTGTTTCCATTGTAGAAGTCTTTCATTTCTTTGGTTAGATTAACTCCTAAATACAGTATTTAATTTTTCTTGATGCTATTGAAAATGCTATTATTTTCCTAATTTCTTTCTCATACACTTATGTACAGGAATGCTATTGATCTTTGTGTATTGATTTTGTATCCTGCTACCTTGCTGAATTTGGTTATTAATTCTAGAAGTCTTTCATGGAATTGTTGGACTATGTAAAGGAGGACTATGTTGCCTGCAAATAATGATAATATGATTTCTTTGTTTCCTATGCATATCCTTTTTATTTCTTTCTCTTGCCTGATTGTTCTGGCTAATGTTTTGAGTACTGAACATGAGTGAAGACCATGAATATCCTTGTCTTGTCCCTGAGTTTAGAGGGAAAGCTTTCACTTTCTCCCATTTAATATGATGTGGCCATTGGTATGTCATGAATGGCTTTTATCAGATTGAGGTAATACCTTCTGTAACTATTTTCTTCAGGATTTTTTATCATGAGTGTTGTTGGATTTTGTTAAGAGATTTTTCTGCATCTATTGATATGATCATGTGATTTTTGTCCTTTTTCCTGTTATGTGGTATATTACATTTACTGACTTGTGTATGTTAAACTATTCTTACATCCCTGGGATGAAACCTACTTGGTCATGTTGTATGATCCTTTTTATAGTTTGTTGATTTGCCAGTATCTTACTGAAGATTTTTGCATCTATGTTTATTAAAGAGATGGCCTGTGGTTTTCTTTTGTAGTTGGGTCCTTGTCTGGTTTGGAACCAGAGTGATGCTGGCTTCCAGAAATGAATGTGGAAGTTTCTTCTCTTTTCATTTCATTAAAGAGTTTGAGTAGTATTGCTATTATAACTTTTGAAGTTCTTGTTGAATTCAGTGGTGAATCCATCAGATTCTGGACTTTTCTTAGTTGGTCTTACTGCTTAAATTTCATTGTTTGTTATTGGCTTGTTCAGAATTTTTATACGTTCTTGATTCAGTTTTGGTAATTCATACATGTCTAGGAAGCTATCCATTTCTTCAACATTCTCCAATTTGTTGAAGTTCAATACTTCATAGTAGTTACTAAAGATCTTCTGGATTTGGTAGTGTTTGTTGTGATTTTGCCTTTTTTATTTCTAATTGCATTAATACAAATCTTTTCTCTCCTTTTGACAAGTATGGTTAAGGGTTTATCTATTCTGTTTATTCTTTTAAAGAACCAACTCTTCAATTTATTGAGTCTTTGTATTATTTTTTTGTCTCAATTTCTTTAATTTCCAATTTGATCTTTATGAGTTCTCTCCTTAAACTAGGTTTGTGTTTGGACTGTTGTTATTTTTCAAATATCTTTAGGCTCAATATTAGGTTATTTGAGCTTGCTCTTTTCCTAATGTGAGCAATGATTGCAATAGACTGCCTTCTTAGGACAGCTTTCCTTGTGTACCATAGGCTCTGGTGTGTTGTACTGACATTGTTGATTGGTTCTAGAAATTGTTTAATTTCTTCCTTGATTTCTTCTGCGACCCACAGAGTGTTCAGGAGAGTGTTTAGTATCCAGCTGCTTATAAATTTTCTGTGGGTTTTTTGTGGTTGATTTCTAGTTTTAGTAGACAATGATCTGACAGTATGCATGGAATGACTGCAGTTCTTTTGTATTTATTTAAGCAGGCTTTGTGGGTGAATATGTAGTCTATTTTGAAGATAATTTCATGTGCTGCTGAGAAAAATGTGTATTGTGTTGTAGTAGGGTAGAATACTTTGAGGATATCTATTAAGTCCATTTGTGTGAAGGTGTGGTTGAGCTCTGATATATCTTTGTTGATTTTTGGTTTAGTTGATTTGTCTCTCTGAAAGTGGGATATTGAGGTTACCCACTATGATTGTGTTGAGGTTCATTTATCTTTTATATCTAACAGTGTTTGTTTTATGAAGTTAGGTGCCCCAATATTCTGTGTATATATATTTACAATTGTTAGCTCTTCTTGCTGAGCCAATTCCTTAATTAATATGTAGTGACCTTCTTTGCCACTTCTGATCTATTTTAGTTTGACATTTACTTTGAGAATAAAATTGCTACCTCTGATTGCTTTTGGGGTCTTGCTGCATGGAATATTGTTTACCATCCTTTGATTTTTAGTGTATAAATTTCTTTTTGTAATAGATGAGTTTCTTGAATGCAACAGATTGTTGGATTCTATTTTTTGGATTTTGCCTATCTCAGTCTTTTAATTGAGGAGTTGAGGCCATTTACATTGAGAATTATTACTGAAAAGTATTGCTTTTTTCCTATCACTGTGTTCTTTTTCTGTTGTGAATTCCTTTACTTTTCCTTTTTGTTTAACTATTTGCCTTGCTTGATTATTCATTCTATCTGATTTGTTTGTTTGTTTGTTTTGATGGCTTCATTGTTTCTGTCTACGATATTCTTTTGTATTTTTTAAGAGTGATAGTTTTCTGATTGTGTATCTCTGAAGGTGTTCTTTGTCATGGAATGTCCTTATTTCTCCGTCAATTTTGAAAGATAGTTTTACATGATATATTATTCCAGGTTGGAAGTTGTTTACTTTTTAGGGTTTGAAACACTTTACTCTAAGTTCTTCTGGCCTTTAAACTTTGTGTTGAGAAGTCAGCTCAGGATTTACTTTATATGTGATTTTTTGCTTTTCTCTGTCAGCTTTATAGATTCTGTCATTTTGGTGGACATTTGGGATTTTGACTGTGATATGTCATGAGGAGCTTCTTTCTATTGGAGTATTCTGTAAGCCTTACTTACCTGTATGTGGAAGAAATAGTCGGCTCATCATTTTTATTTTTATTTTTGTCCATATTAAGGCAACTTTCTTTTCCTGGTGCCTGGTTCTCTTCCTGCCAGCCCTTGAGGGGGTGCATTGGTGTATGACAATTAAATTTTACCCCATTTTGTTTTCAGCATCTTTGAGTGCCTTGGTGGGAACTGTCTAACTTCACCCTGACTGGTGAGGAGACTAGCATGACTTTGAGCTTTATTCAGTCCTCCAGACTGTCACTGAAGGGCCAACTTGCTTCTTCCCTCAGACTGGTCCTTTCCCAAGATGGTGTATGTACTGTGCCTATGGTGGAAGGTTGGGGGTAGAGCACCATGATTCAGGTGCAGACCAGTTTCACCCTTCCCACCCTCTAAACACATTTTAGTCCAACAGGATTATCTTTTCATTTGCCCTCCACATGAGACTTTATCTTTCACCTCTGCCTCATGGTAACCGCTTTTCTTCAACAGCAAATCAGAGGCACATCTCATCACAGCTGTCTCCCAGTAGTTGGCTCAGTATGACTAATTCTTATAGCATTTATGTAAATTTAATTTCTACCATGAAAGTGATACAAGGGAAAGTTCACAAAAATCATTTGGCATAAAATTTCCTGTTAAAATTAAATATGGGTAGAATTTAAATTATTAATATTAGTGGATAATAAATTAAAACAGACTTTTAAGTGAGATTTTATAAGTAGGAAATGTGCTTTTATTATTCAAACTACAAAAACACTCAGATACTAAAACAGTTACTAAAATAATTACTAAGATTATAGTCTAGATGTGCTCTTTTTCCACATTTAAAATTTTGTAAGTTCTCAATCCATGTCCTGATATTTTCCATTCTTGGGTTTCATTTTCCTTGGTACCAAAACATCTAGTCTGTTTAAAGGACACAGGCTGTGGAATTCAGTGGAATTTTAATAAGTCACTGTGTTTGTGTCCTAACATCAGTGTTGGTCACTATCTGATTATCTTCTATGTATTTGCCTGCTTTGGTGCCTAAATACAACCTAGAGTTACTCTCTGGGTCAGAATCTATTATTTCTCTTCATGGATTTGAGTATTTTACATTACAAAAATGGTAAGTAAGTCATTTTGGAATAGCTACTGATAATTACCTCACTATTGTTCTGGGACCAATGTCTCCCTTAATGAGGCTAGATAATCCTGCTATTAATGTAATTTTATAGCATTTGATTTTAAACAAACTTACATTTCTCTTTTCCTACTGCCTGCTTTGTGTTCTGGCAGTTTCAAAGAAAGCATGGAGAAATCATCATATTCCGACTGGCTAATAAATAACAGCATTGCTGAGCTGGTTGCTTCGACGGGTCTTCCTGTAAACATCAGTGATGCCTACCAGGACCCACGGTTTGATGCTGAGGTAAGAGGTGTCCTCAGGTTTCAGTCATAGATTCATTGTCAAAATGTTGATGTTTTGCTGGCTGAAGCAAAAAAGGGACAACATGAAGACCCATGGCAGTTCTTTTGCATCCTTCCTCTGTGATCTGGTTTTTAGCATTGCCTACTATTGACTGGCAGCTAGAAAACTTCCCATCTCTACCCTGATTTGGGGCAAAATTATCCCTATCCTGGCATTTTTATGATGAGGTATACTTTATATTAAACTATGAAATATTATAAAATATATATAACAGTTATTTCCCAACTGATGTTGTAACTGCCATAGTTTTTGAAACACAAAACATAAATTGGTTAATGTTATTGCTTAATGTTAATTATAAAGGTACATTATGCTATGCAGAATATATTTAAAACAGTTTTTAAATTGATATCCTAAGGTAGTATAAAGTATACAGTGAATTCATATGAGCTAATGAAATATCTCTATGTATAGACACAAATATATAGATAATACATATATCTACATATACATTATACATACTCATATATACATCTAGATGTATAGATCTCATAGAATACATGTGTATAAAATACATATAATAAAAAGTTTCCCATTCTAGTTTGCAATGCCTGTCTCTGAAGAGTAGCAGGAGTTTTTGAAGAAGAAGGGCGAGGAGACGTGTGTTACAAACAAAGCTGAGGGGCATGGAAATAGGGGATCTGGGGTAGTTTAATGTGATTGATGGGCTGTAGGAAATGAGGCTGAAGAGGGAAGCAGGGGTCCCAATCACCAAAAGCTTTTGAAAATTGTGTTAAGAGATGTGAGAGTTAATCATGAAGCATGAGAACCAATAATTGAGTTCTAAACTGAGGAAGAGGTACTTATATTTTAGAATGATCGATCATACTCTCTACAGAACAGATTAATGATAATAACAATGGAACATGTAATCTCTGCAACCGAAAGGTAGGAGTCATCACCTCCATTTTACAGAAATTGACAGCTGCCTTCTCCATTGCCTCCTTTGTCCATTACAATAATATAATGAGATCAGGGAGGCTGAGTTCTAGGTCTAATTTATAACTTCAGTCAGGTTATTGTTGCAGATCTGTACAGGGAAATCTTAAATTACCAAAACTAATCACCTCTCTGTACTGCCTTTCTTCCCTTGGATACATTCTCCATACATTTTCTATTCCTTTTGGGGCATTAGGCGTAGATGCTCCCACTTTGGAAATCCTTTCATGAACTTGTGGGCTGGGTGTACTTCTGGGGTGGCCTATTAGCTGTCTCAATGCTGATCACCCTCTAGCTCTTTTCAGTTCTGAGGTAGTGAGTCTGAATTTGGAGTTACCTTCTTTGGGAAATTCATTGTCCTAAGTGTCTGATTCTCTTCTAGTAAGGGAAAAAAACACCATCTGGGTTCTGTGACTGGAACAGTGAAATGATTTACAGATGTCAGTGTTTGTGTCCTTAACATTGTGATTGAGTTAGGTTTGATTTTATGATTTTTTTGCCTTTGCTATGTTTCTGCTTTGATCTTGGAATATTGAAGACAATACTTCTATAATACAATTTTATCACAAAATAGTCTCTATTATTAACACCAGTAATAATTAAACAAACCAAAAGATTTGCTATGAAAAAAACTAGTAACTGCAAATTCACTTTTACAAAGTCAGTGTATTTGGTTAGCTGTCAGCAAACAATTGTCATTTTCCTCCCCAAAATCATAGCATTAAATTTGGCATGAATTGTTATTATTTTGCACTTAGCTTTGGACTGTAAAGAGAGTCCAATTCTGGGGGGAAAACGTTAAATTACACTATTTCTCTTTTTATTGGTTTATAAAATATATGTGAAGATTTAACAGAATATAATATAGTGTATACCTGTGTACCCACCACTCAGTTTAAGAAAAAAAAGATCATTACTTTTGATCTTTGTATTATCTTCTCTAATCTCATCTTCTTTGTTTCTCTCACAGAGGCAACCTATATCCTGAATTTGAATTTATCATTTCTTTGCTTTTCTAGACAGTTTCATTGCACGTTTTAATTCATCCCCAATACATTGTTATACTTTGCATATCTATAAACTTTACATAAAGTGAATAATATTGTGTGCCTCTTTCTGTGGCTTACTTTTTTCCACTCAATATTGTGTGGCTGGATTGTATAAATTTGTAATCCATTCATTTGTTTTTGTTTTGGGGTATTCCATTGTATGAGTAAGATTCAGTTTGTTTATTCATGAGGGTGTTGATGCAGATTTGGATTCAGTTTTTTACTGTTATGTGCATAACTACCAGGGATATTCTGGTTCATGCCTTTGAGTGCTCAAGTATAAGAGTTTTTCTAGAATGTATTCCTAGGAGAATGACATATTGAATCACAAACTGTAAACATCTTTACCTTTACCAAGGAATGAAAAGTTCTTGTCCAATCATTATTCTTTCTTTTCCTATGAAAAGTAGCAAGCAAACACAATTTATATCTCACAAATACTTCCTGTTAATACAATATAATGAGCTTGAATATGTAATATCCTTACATCTACAGGCAGACTTTTAACTGTATCTCTTTCTGATTAGTGATACAGCCACTTTACACTTCCCTGCACACTTGTAGGCATACTAATAAGGTAACCTTCCCAGCTGATCTTTAAAAAGAACAATATGTAAATTTGAGCAAAAGAAAACAGCTATTTCTGTGTAGTTGGGCATAAAATTTTCATGCCCTGATCCAGTAGATGAAGCAATGATGTTGGAAGACAGTAAATTGTAGTAGGTTAAGCTGTGACTATTTCATGAAACCACTTACTTTTCTATGATAAAATGAAGCACAAACTTAGGCCTTCATTATTTCCTGCCCCTCCACTCAAATACTGCAGTCAAATGCAAATCTGAAGACACATTATAACATGGTCTGTACACATTCTCTTTGCATGGTACTGAAATGCAGAGTTGCCTTACTTTTACCTTCTGATGCTGAGAAAAAAATTTTTTGGAAAGGAATCAGAGTTGATGAAGATGAGGGAGAGACAGAGACAGAGAGACCATTCTGTCTTAATACAGGTATTTAGTAGATGTATAATGCAAATGTGTGTGCATTATGCATTATGTATTTTACCAATACAAGCAAACATTGATCTTCTTAGTCTCCCTCCCTTTTCAAATATGTTTCGCTGCAGTGACAGGTGCATATATTATATGTATATATATATTAATAATGAGTGAAACAGACTCCAGATTAAGCCACAGGGCTCTCCCAAGAGGCTAGGAGGCTCAAACTTTCTTGCCACAATGTCTGATGTAAGATGATGTAGATCATAAGATAAAGACAACCATGGCAGATATTTTTTCATTAATGAATTAAATATTTCCATCGAGATAAAACAAATCATAATAAAATAAAATCACCTCAACCTTTTGTCCTACCCATAAAAATGATTCTAAAATCATTTTAGAGACAGAAAGCAACTTTTAGAACTGTCTTGTCTTCTGGAAAGTTTTGAATCATCTCTTGATGTGGGTTAAGATAATACATGGGTTCACATTTCTTCCCAGCAATCATAACTGAATACAGATGGTCCCTGACTTATGATGACTCAGTTCAAGATTTTTTAACTTTACAGTGGCCCAAAAGCATACCTCTACAACTATTCTATTTTTCATTTTCAATATAGCATTCAATAAACTACATGAGATATTCAACATTTTATTATAAACAAGTTTTTTGTTGGATTTTGTTCAACTGTAAGCTAACAAGTGTTTACAGTACATTTAAGTTAGGCTATACTATGCTGTTATGTTTAGTAGATTATATATATAAAATGTGAATTTATAATATTTTCAATTTATGTGGGTGTATAGGCATGTAACCCCATTGTAAATTGAAGAGCTTCTGTAGTTTTTTTATCAGTGGTAGAAAATTAGGACATAACTTAAAAATTTAGGATTTTCTTGTCATGGCTGTTGTACTGGGGATTGAACCGAGGGGCTTTGCACTAAACTATATCCCTAACTCCCCCCCCCCCTTTTGAGTCAGGGTCTCACTAAGTTGCCCAGGCAAGACTTAAATTGTGCTCCCCCTGCCTTGGCTTCCCAGAGTGCTGGGGTTACAGGGGTGTGCAACAATGCCTGGCTAAAAATCCAAGATTGACTATTGATTGTTATCTTTACTAGGAAAAGCGCTTGATGTTTTTGTTTTGTTCACTGACTTTCCAGAATACTGTACTTTCTGGTTGGTTAACAGAAATTTGAGAGAGGTAGGATGGGGAATCATTTTCAATGCATTTCCTTTTTCTTCTACAGATTTTTTCAGCCTAAGTCTACATAAAGTATTTAAACTTGCTAGAAATCCAGTTATCCTTAGCACTAATATTTATTCTAAATTTTTCAATGTCTCTGTGGCTAATTCTGACAACTTGAACTCACTTTACTGAGTATGGAGGGCCCCAGTTCCTCAGAAAATGTAGCTATGTGGGATAGAATGCCCTAAAATTGATTGGCCCTATTTTGAGATTTCATACCATAGAAATAGTACAGATTTATTTCATCTATAGGTGAGGAAATGACTTAAGGTAGGACACCAGAAGACTGAATTCTCCAGGTTCTAATTCAGTGCCCTTCTCTTGAGTGGCCTTTCAGGGGGACCGTCAGCTGTTCAGGAGCTGCTGAGGGACAGCCTGGGCACTAGACTTTTTACTCCTTCACACTTGTACTTGTGGGCAAAATACCTACCTTTCTGTCATTTCTGTTCTACTCCCTAGCTGAGCAATCTTAGGCATACTACTTTGTAACTTGTAAAGTTCTATATAAATATTTGGTAAACCGTGCAGAGGTGACAACCAAATCTTTCCCTATAGAGGCCAACAGGATGTAGACCTATGTCTTCTCAAGAGTCGCCACACATCCAGAGACCAGACTACTAGGAACACTGGGGCTAATCAAATTCCAGGGGCTGGTTGTACTTCAAGGCCCAAGCAACCCATAAATCCTCACAGCATACAGCAAA